CTGTAGACCAGAAGAGTCAGCAAATTATGGCCTATGGGCCAATCTGGCCCACTGCCCATTTTTATAAATAAAGTTTTATTGGAATACAGCCATGCTCATTCTTTTATGTATTGCTTACAGTCATTTGCACAATACAATGGCAGAATTGAGAGGTTCCAACAAAGACCATATGGCCCATAAACTGTAAAGTATTTACTATCTGACAAAAGTTTGCCAACCTCTGCTCTAAATCAAATTCACAACGATTCTACCTTGTTATACTGTAAAGTCTTTACTACCCCCTAAACTTCCTGATTGTTTTCTTACCAACTTCTTTTCTAAAATTAACCTCTAAGAATGTTTTAAAAGCAAAAACTACACCATCAAAATTGCCAAGGCAATTAAATGCTTTTACTACGTAATGTCCTATTTTTCTTGAATTTCCCTCCAGATTTCACTCCTGCTCTAACCTTCACTTAGTTTCCATCGTGTCCACAGGGCTTCTTAGCACTGCACCCTTTCCGACCTCAGTTTCAGATCTCTTTTGCACAGATTATAAGACACGGCCACAGTGACACGGCCACCGGGCTTGACTTCCCATCTCTGCAGACGCAACAGAAATATAAGCACAGGTCACAGAGTCCAGCACCATCCAGGACAGAATCCACAAGCCGGGAGATTATGGAGGCCTCGTGACGTGCTTTTTGGAGGCTGGGCCCAGGCCCCTTGAAATCTCAGTCCTGAGATATCACCACTCCACGTTCCCTGCTTCTCACTTACCTACTATAGACCCACTCTACGGGCTGAAACTTTACAAGACATCCTTTAAGGTGTAAGAATAATTTTAAAATTATTAACCTTTCTGCTTACCAGGGAGAAAAGGAAGAGGGAGCAGCCGCTGTAAATATCTGGAAGACCAGGTAGTACTAAATGGACAAAAAGGTTCTGGCCACATCAGATGAAGAACCAGAAGGACAGGCTCTCGGCCCAGGACTTACTCCTCCAGGCTTTTCCGGAGCTCCCCCTCACTCTCTTCCAGCCGCCGCTGCAGCACCGAGTTCTCTTTCTCCTTGTGGTCGTGTTGGCTCTGGAGCTCTTCTAAGTTTGCTTTCATTCTCTCCCTCTCTTCTTTGATGTTCTGTTGATTCTAATATGAACACATGTGATTTTAGAGTACCTCCACCGTACATTTATGTTATGCTGAAACTTTACAAGACATCCTTCTAAACTCTGATGGACTCCATGTCTTTGCACTTACAGTATTAATTATTAGTGATGTCATTAATTATTAATCAAACTACTTAATTAAGGCATAGTTGTGTGTAACTAGAAGCAGTATTACATATTTAATGAGTTGTAATACTTTTTTTTTTTAAATATATTTTATTGACTTTTTACAGAGAGGAAGGGAGAGAGATAGAGAGTTAGAAACATCGATGAGAGAGAAACATCGATCAGCTGCCTCCTGCACACTCCCCACTGGGGATGTGCCCGCAACCCAGGTACATGCCCTTGATCGGAATCGAACCTGGGACCCTTCAGTCCACAGGCCGACGCTCTATCCACTGAGCCAAACCGGTTTCGGCAAGTTGTAATACTTTTAAAAGAGAAACAAACACAGCTAAATCTCATTGTACTATTTCAATTACTCAGTTCCAATATTTTATAAGCATTTCGTTTTCTACTGGCCTAACTGAATCCAACAGTGATTCTTTTACTCTGTCAAAGCAAACAGTCACTATATGCTTTGGGTTGTTTTTTTTTTGTTGTTGTTGTTGTTGTTTTAAGTTCTTTGGTCAGTAGGAGCCAAATATACAGGGATTTACTTCTGTGATGAGAGGAATGTTTCTTTTTGGGGGGGAATATTGGCTTTCAATTCACTTGGGCATCCCAAGGTACTTAAAATATTCTTTACCAATCAAGAAGGAGATGGAAAAAATAACCAAGGAAAAATCAGATACCTTGACTTCCAGTTGAAGCTGTCGCTGAAGTTCAGCCACTTCTGTGGTCAACTTGGTTTTCTGTTCCAACAGATCTTTGACTTCAGACGAAGAGTTAGAAGCCTACAGTTAATTGCAAAGATATATGCATTGAAATGTTCAAGGTGATTTATTTTCATTCTCTTTCCCCCAAAATATAATCAGAGCAGTAACTCTAAAATCTTAAGATTCCAATGTAGATCCCTACAGAGAAGGGGCACGAGGAAATCTTCTGGGGTGATGGGAGTACCCTGTATCTTGATCTGGGTGGTGCTTGCATTTGAACTATGCAGTTAAGATTTGTGCAATTTACTGTAAGTTATACCCAATAAAACAATGTAAAAGATAAAAATAAGTATTTGTGAAGATTCATTTATTGCATAAAGTAATACCCAAAGCCCATGTCTCTGTGTTCCCAAGGCCCTTTGTGTAAAAATCTATTACAAACTTTTCATTAGATTGGGAATTACTGCTCCATAACCATCAATGATATTTTTATCCCTCACTCTGTATATGCCTGGATGCAAGCAGTAAGTAACTGTAAGCTGGCTAAACTGGCTGTCTTCTTTTAGATGTCACATTTCCATAATGGAGAGAGATAGAATGAAGAGGGATCTGATTAAAGAGTCTATTAGGAAGCATCTATGATTATGAATATTAATGGATCTCATTTTTTTCCTCCATGGATGTAATAATAGGATGATGTTCTCAAAAGGATTTGGCTAAAAAACTATAGCAAAGTGGTTGGAAAACTACATGGCAGGGAAAGGGGATAAAAGCAGGAATCAAAGCTGGAAAAGGCAGTGACTTGGCCCTCATGCATCTGAATCCAGGTGTGAGTTGTGCCTGATGAACCTGGAAAGAGGTATTTCCTCACTTACTCCTGTGAAGTTAACCAGAGCCCCCAGTCAACAAAAACACAGGACTTCCCATTCTCTCAGACAAAATGAGAACAGTCCATTTTAGAAATCTAAACCCGACCCACGAGGGAACTTGCACGCGCTCCTTCCCAAGCAAAACCCCTTCCTGCTTTGCTGTCGTTTCCCAAGATGGTCTCAGTCCACATGGGAGAGGGTCCTTACATTCCTCACAGAAAATCACTTAACTGGCCTTTGCCAGCGAATAATCAGATTCAGAAAATAAGAGGGAGGCAGAGGGAGTAGGAAAACATGGGCAATTAAGCCGTCAGGGCACTGCGATAGGAGCTAGAAGACTAAGGGCCTTAGTTCACCTCACCACCTCGCACTTGATTCCCAGTGCTTCTTAACTGGTCTCCCCTCCTCTGACCTCACCTCTTTCAGAAAGCTACAACAGGAATGAATTCTTAGGAATATGGCGCTATTCATTCCTGTGTAAAGTCCATCAGTGGTGGCCCATCACCTTCGGTCTGAAATGGAAACTTCTTATGCGATTTCTGAGGTCTTTCCTACCTGGTGCTTCGTCCCCACATGCTCTCTGCTCCAGCTACACAAAATTACCTCCATCCCCTAAACATAGCTAACACGTGCCTCTTTACATTTTATATTTGCTTGTGCCATTCCCTCTACCTACAGTGCCCTGCCTTCTCTTCCTTCAGAGAATTCTATAATCTTTTGAGACACCATTAGTGTTAGTGACTCCAGAAGGGCTACCCTGATACCCCTAGTCTGTGACCCACAATGACAATCTTAACATCAAGACCAAAGCATGTCAAAACAAAAAAGGCCAAAGGATATATTCCCCCTAAGAATATGCAGGCAAATGAAAAGCAAGAGTCAGAGTGATAATTTGGATTTAAGACTTTTAGCAAAAAAAATCCTAAGCTAATTTTAAGAACTACATAGCACTCCTGAAACAAAGTGTATAATCTAAAAATTCCCCAGTGGGAACAGTTAATATATTTATACTACCATAAATATTATATACTAGAGGCCCGGTGCACAAAAATTTGTGCACTCGGGGGGCGGGGGGAGGGGGGTCCCCCAGCCCGGCCTGTGCCCTCTCGCAGTCTGGGACCCCTCGGGAGATAACGACCTGCTGGCTTAGGCCTGCTCCCGGGTGGCAGAGGGCAGGCCCAATCCCTAAGTGCAGCCCCTGGTCAGGCTCAGAGCAGGGCCGATTGGGGAGTTGGGGCGCCGCCCCGTCATGCACAGAGCAGGGCAGATCGGGAGGTTGCAATGCCACCCTCAGTCACGCTCAGGGTAGGGCCGATTGGGGGGTTGGGGCACCACCCCCTGTCACACTCAAGGCAGGGTCGATGGGGAGGTTGCGGCACCACCCCCTGTCACGCACAGAGCAGGGCCAATCAGGGGGTTGGGCGCTGCCCCCTGTCA